TGGCCGCCCTCCGGCCCTGGCCCCTGTCGTTTGCCAGTTGGTGCCCAGAACCATCAGCTGTCTCTGAGTCTCCTCCGACTCCAGGCGAGCCCTTGAGTGTCGGAAGGAAGGGGCTGTTTCTTGGCACCTGCTCTGGTTCCTAACAGAGCTCTGTGTCTACCAGGAGCGCGAAATGAGTTAGGAACTGGTTCTTTATTCCCCTTCCCTCGGTGGGTTTCCGAGCTTGCAGTTCTCCCCAAACTCATGGTGACTCTAATTCTCTGGAATCAATGTAAAATCTCTTAAGTCAGGATTTAAGGCTTTTACCTAACTCTCTACTTCAGTCTGTTCTGCACTGGGATACATCCCCCAAAGCTAGCATAGCACAGAGCTGAGTGCAACAGTAACTAGCCAGGGGCACAGCACGAAGAGGCACTAAATAATATTTACTAATAAATGACTGAATTATCTTTTCAATAAATCTTATTTCCCCTTTTATATGTATCTGTTAATCTCACTTTTGTGTATTCATAGATAACATCTTGTAACATGTTACCAATTTGAGGACACTTTCCTCCTGTCAGATCAAGAAGTTTAATTCTTCTTTCTTGAAACCTTCTGAATCAGTCAGTAAGATATCTAATCAGTTCTATCATCAACTGCTCTTCTACTTGCGCATGTCCTGTTTTTGATTCAAAGGGACACAATGCAAGTTCAAAGACCATGTCAATGGTTTCCTTTGTCACCCTCAGTACTGTATACCCTGAATACTAAGTCCTCTTTATTCTTGGTACTAGAAATTGAACCCAGGGCTTTCCCACTGAGCTGCACCTTCAGCCCTTTTTATGTTGAGACAAGGTCTCACTAAAAGTTACTGAACTGTCCAGGGTGAATTCAAACTTGTGATCTTCCTGCCTCAGCCTTCCAGAGTCCTAGTCCTGGCCCTAACTGAATCCTCTTAATAATATCTTCTCTAGTATATTACTCTAAAGAGCCCCTCAAGAGGCCTATATAAAAGAGCACCCATAAATTAGTAATATGTTTTATACTCAGAGATCAGTGATCCTTGTTTTAACAAGTTAGGAAAGAAATATTGGAAAGAACTTTTTAACTGAATGAGCCCTAACCCTCCACCAAATAAAAGAATTTGTTAACTATTATTTCTGTATCAACTATGGGTTAACTAATTTCAGAATCTTTTTCTTTTGCTCAGGATGGCCCTAACATAAGATAAAGACATATAGCAAACGGCAACAAAGTTCATGTACAGAACATGACACCAAAAGCACCAAAAGACTGCTCTTCTCTACCAAACAGCTGCACAGGGCACCGGAAGAACAAAGACCAGGGCACTCATCTTGGCAGACGGCCCCTGGAAAAGCAGCAGTGGGCATCCTGGAGAGAAAGGAAGCACAGACAAAGCCTGTGTTCCGCAGCAAGCATGCCTTGTGAGTGAGTTTCAAAACTTTTAGTTTTTAAACTTAAATTGTGCTACTTTTCTAGCTGTCTGAAAGTCAGTACAGACACTCAAATCCTTCACATTTCAGAGACAAACAGCAGCTATCTCGGCTATCTTTCTGTAAGCCTCCTGGCCGCAGGAGGTGGCTCGGTGCTCCATGCGCACCACCTTTACCTGCCTGCACAGCCCTACAGCCAGCACTCTCCTGCCCCGCGGCACCCAGACAGCAGGAGGGATGTGATGATCTGTCCTTAGAACAGCAGACCCAATGAAATCTGGTAGGTTAGATCGGAAAGACTTCGCCCAAACACACAACTGTCTTCCACCGTAAAAAGTTATTTCATTTTTCCCTTTTTTAAAGAGAGCAAGTCTTATTATGTTGTCCAGGCTGGCCTTAAACTCCTGGGACTACAAGTGGACACAAAAATGTTATTTTCAGCCAGGCCAGGTGGTGCAGGCAGGAAGATGGAAAGCTCAGGCAAGGCTGTGAGACCCTGTCTCCAAACACACACTCAAAAAAGTGTGGGATGTAGCCCAGGGTAAAGGCCCTGGGTTCAGTACCCAGTAAGTACCACCACCACCAAAAAAAAGTTATTTCCCATGTTACGCATTAGAAACATAAAATTAATAATTTTAACTTGAATTTTTAGAAGTAAGCAAATTTTATTAAGATTTATGAGAAGCGTGTATTTTGTTAAAGTTTATGGGAGTTGCTACGAAACACAATACTTTAGGAAAAAAGACAAGACTGTGTTGCTGGGGCATGGGTGGATGACTGATAACGGATGACGTCACTCATAGGCAACCCTAACGTCCAGCATTCCAAAACGATGTAACAATTTGTTTTGAAGAAGTATAGCTTCCAAAAGAACAAAAAGACAATCTAAATATTTATTTGGACGGCTGCATGCCAAAATAAAGTTAAATGTACAAAATAAAGAAATTAGTCTCACCTTTAAAAAGCATCCATGTTTCATCAGCAATTTAAACATAAGAAAGGGTTCAAAGTTTTTTGGCAAATTGGGCAGGAGTGAAGCTCAGTGGTAGGGAAACTGCCCAGGATGCAGGAGAGTCAGAGTTTACCATAGTGCATGAGCGTGTGCACGTGCGCCAGGTAAGTGAATGATTTTTAAGTACTGCGTGCATCTTCGGGGGGCGCTGCCCATGGAAATGTTGGAGATGGTAGTGATCTTTCCAACTAACTCAAAACACTAAGTTAAATATCAGGCACCTGTAAGGTTATATCACATAATGGTGAAACAACATGAGCTTTGTAGAAGCCAAGGAAACCCACATCCCTGGGGTTTTACCCTCATTCTCCCCTAACTGCTTTTAGTCTTAAGATGCTTGTGAGTCTGGAATTGTTCATAAAGAATATTCTAACAAGGACTGAAATGCGGTTCAGTCCTAATAAAGGTAAGGTTTATGTGACCCAGTCAAGCTTTTCTCATGTCTAGATACGCTTTCCAAACATCTGGGCAAATCTTCCCATCCCCCCAAAACTTACAATTCAAATATATTGCAATCCTGCTATAACTTTCCAGAAAAGGAAGTATTTGTTATCAGATACATCTAAGGACCAGTGCAATGATCCTGCATCCACTCAGGACTTACAGGGGATCTGTCTGTGAAATACACCTTTTCCACACAAAAGCACTCTTTAGTAAGCGAGCTGTCACTCACCCACATGTTGCCACAGGAAAGGCAGATGGGACACAGAAACGCTGTCTACCTATGAGGTCGGCAGAAATGCTTGGGAAAGGTTCACGATTTAGAATGGCCACTCTAGTGATCGTCATGCAAATCACCAGAGGATGCTGCAATCAAAGCTTTAAATTCAGAATATTTCATTCTCAGAATGGGCTTCTCCTCTCAGATTATATCTCTTAGATATTACTGTAATTAACTAAAACATCAACTGGAAGAAACAGAGGTAACAAAACATGCTAATTAATCTTGCTCGTCAACCTGACGTGATGAGACGCCTGGAGAAGCGAATGCACTGTGAGAGAACCGAACTCATCGATGGGATCACAGCTAAACTGGCTACCAGGATGGGGTGCTCAGAGACAGTGAATCACGGGAGCTCGACCTTGGGGACTGTCTGGCCCAAGGCACCTTCCTTTCTGGCTCTTACCAACCTGCGCAGTGTACTGACTGCCATGCGCTGAGCAGCTGTCCTCCAGCAGGCCCTTCTGCCGTGAGGTGTCTGCCTTGCAGGCAGCTACCACGCACCAAAACCTCTCGAACTGCGAGCCAAAATAAACCTCTCCTTTGAGATGCAGGTGTCAAGTGCTTTGTCCCAGCAATAGGAAGCTGAATCACATACAATCAGGTTGAGAAATTCGCACTTCCCTGGCTACCCTAATTCAGTATTTGGTGGAATAGTTTCATTAAAAGTGTTTCTTCTTTTCTATAATTCATAGGTTAGGATGCTTATTAGAGATTTAACAGCCACAGTTTGGGCCAGCTCTATGTGCCATTTCATTTCTGCTTATCCACAGCACTTTGGGGTGAAGTAATACTTGGTAGAGATAAGCTTGCTTGCTATGGAAAGCACAAAAATGTGAAAGAGTTCTGCTTAAACCTCACAGGATGTCTTTTCACTTAATTAGATTTCCATTTACATAACTGTCATATAGTATTTTTTGTTATAGTTAGAAAAATATATAGAAAACAAATGTTTAGAATCAGAACATACATACATAACACTTTTTATCTTCTCAGTTTTTCTACCCATGTCACTTTCTTATGAATTGAGTGGTCAGATTTCATCAACTGGTTTCAGCTTGCTCAGCCTTCTGGTCAGCTGCTGAGGTGGATGTAGAGGAGCATTTGGGAATGTGGGGGTGATGGAAGACAGTATGCTGAAGGTCTTCCTTCTGGCCTAGATCCATAGTATACAACAGCACTGAACAAATATCCTGGGCATTTTGCTATCATCAAAACTTCCACTGGGAATAGTATTTGAAGTACAAATAATATTGTTTTTAAAATGCCTTAATTTCTAGAAATGAGGGAATTTAAAAAACTAAAGTCTAAATGAGGCCAGGTGTAGTGGCGCATGCCTGTAACCTTGGCACTTGGGAGGCTGAGGCAGGAGGATCACTGTGAGTTTGAGGCCAGCCTGGGCTATATAAGTGAGTTCAAGGGCAGCCTGCACTACATAGCGAGACCCTGTCTCTAGATAATAAACAAATAAAGTCTAAATGATAGTAGTTGTGATATGAATAACTGCTGATATTGGTTAATGTTTTGTGTCACAGACACTTTCTCTCATTTAGTTTTCAAGTGTCTAAGAGATACACATGTCTTTTACCTCCATTTTATCTTCTTAATTTCAATACAGTTATGAATCACTAAACCTGCACAGTTCTTTTTGTCATTCAATTATAGTTTTGCCCCAGAGGTATTTTATGGGCCTCACCCCACCCCTGGCCTTGTTTTACAGGTGAAGTTTGGATGATCCTGGGTTACTGTCTTTAAATTTAATTCGAGATAAAAGACTAATAAAAGAACCAGCCATCATAGCAAAGTGGATGGCCTTCCAGTGTGTCCTCACCTTCCCCTGGTGGCCTTCTGTAGAACCTTCATGCCCGCCAGGCTGCAGGAGCGTCCTTCCAACTGTCTGTCCCTCAAGACGGCACCCTCCAAGTGCACCTCGCCGAAGATTCCATAGGCATCTTGCACCAGAAGGCAGACTCTGTAAAAAAGCATGCACATTTGGTCCTTGAGGAGAGTGTGGATCAATACAGAGAACATGACTTCCTTCTTCACTAGAGATGCACCGATGTCTTCTTCCTAAATGCTGGCAGTCAGGGCAAATGAGGTTAAATTCAAGTGCATACTCTTTGGATTTGTACAGGCAGGTGTTTGGATGGCTGGAAACAAAATAAAGAATTCTTTTTTGGCATGAAAAAGAAAACCCTTCAGCCAAATGTGTTTGAAAAGCACATAAAGATTATAGGACTATCCTCTAAAGCAAGTATATTACCACTGCTCAGAAACAGTGTCCTATCGCCCATTTTTATGCTGTTCCTAAAGAAAAGAGACACATAGGTTATGTGAACGTTTAACACTGAGAAAAGCTTCAGCATAACATTATGATGAGAACAGTAAGAAGCATTCCCTGTAATGGGTACCTACTTAGACATGCACATCCCAGCAGGGTAAAAACCAGTGTCCAGCTGGCAGCGAACTGCACCTGATGGATACCCAGGGACATGGCAAGATTTCCCCGAGTTTTTAAGTTTGGAGATCAATACTTATGAAAGCCTATTTGTGCCTATATTTCTAATCCTTTCACTTCATAATTCAGGTAAATCAAGTCTTATTTACTACAAAATGATACCTCCTCGGAAAAAGTTTCATAGAGCCTTAAAAATTTAGCCAGAAAATAATACTACAAAATAGACTGTAGGACATAAAACTGTTTTAAAGATAAAACTATAAAGGAAAAGAACAGATGAACAATGAGAAAGGGGAAGTTAAGCACCAGGTGCTACCTTGGCAAAAGGGACAAGACCCAGACTCTCCAGTGAAGACTCCCAGGTCTGCAGGACACCCTGGCCTCCAGAAGAAACAAAGGGAAACCTTGCCTGAAAGAAGGCGCCTCCAACTGGATTGGTAGTCTGCCGCAGAGCTAGAGCACCACAGAGCTCTCACAAACAAGGAAACAAACCATTATGCATAGGAAAGTCTAAAGAAATAATAGCTGAGCACTCAAGATACTAGAATTAACAGCTATGAAATCCAGAATAAATATTTTAAAGAGTTAAAAAATCACAAAAATATTAACAGGAGACAAGAAGCTATAGAACATGACATGGCAGATTTGAAGAAGAATGAAACAACTTTGAAAAAGGAAAACTGCATTCACTGAAATAACGAATTCACCGATTAAGGGTAACCAAGGGCTACATTCACCTGGAAAACAGTTCCTGGATCTAAGTTCTAGGTCTGAAGCAGTTACCCAGAGCGCAGCCTGCGAGCTGAGAGAGAAGCAGGCGGGAAGACTGGGAAACACAACAGACAGGAGGAAGACTAACCTGCGCCCCTGCGGACTCCAGGGGAACAAGATGGAGGAAGGAAGAGAAATTTGTAATCTAGTGCACGAGAATTTTTCCCAACTAATAGAAGACACAGAAAGAAAAATGAGTAACACTCAGGACAACTGAAAGGAAACTTATTCTAATACATATGCTGTTGTGAAAATGAAGAACACCAAAGGCAACAAGATTTTACTTTTATTTTGTATGTGGTACTGGCGATGAAACCCAGGGCTTCCCCACTGAGCTATGTCCCTAGCACTTTAAAAAACTTTATTTTGAGACAGGGTCTTGGTAAGTCACTAAGTTGTCTGGGCTAGGCTTGAACTAGCTACGTATTTTCCTGCCTTAGCCTTCCAGAGTGCTGGGAGGAAAAATAGCTGTATGCTGTTTTGGAGGACTGATAGGAAAAACAATTGCATGTTATGTTATCCTAAGAATGGGTATGTATAATTCAGTTGCGAAGTGTCTTTAGTTAGGACACTTCTAGTGCAATTTAGTTAGGTAAGGTCTTAGCCAGACAAGTATTATAATTGATTTACATGAGCTAAATTCACCTCTCCCCCCACCTCCCTCCCCCACACACCTTCTCTCTGGTACTGGGGGTTGGGCCTAGGACTCTGGACTAAGCTACATCCCCAGTACCCCCTTCCTCCCCAAGACACAGTCTTGCTAAGTTTCCCAGGCTTGGTTCAAACTTGCAATACTCCTGCCTCAGCCTCCCAGGATGACAGGCATGTGCCACCATGCCTGGCTGGGATTTTATGTCTTTTTGAGACAGGGTCTCGCTATGCAGCTCAGGCTGGCCTTGAGCTCACTTTGTAGCCCAGGCTGGCCTCGAACTTGCAATGATCCTCCTGCCTCAGCCTCCCGAGTGCTGGGATTACAGGCGTGCACCACCACGCCTAGCTGGTTGAGATTTTAAAAGCAAGAAGCACACACACATACACACAATCGTTTTAAATTTACCCAATTGGTCTAGAATCTTTTAGCAAGAAGTGCAAAATGAGAAGATATGAAAAGAACAACTTTAAAGGAATGAAATTTTGTTTTATATCAACCTTCTACTAAATCATGAATAAAGCCAGAAGCCCATGTAATATTTCCAAAATTATTGTTTTGGGTGGTAGTTTGAGTCAGGGTCTCACTATTTAATTACATCCTGGCCTTGAAGCCCCAATCCTCCTGCCTCTGTCTCCCAAGTGCTGAAATTACAGTTGTGTACCACCATACCTAGCTTATTTTCAAAATTCTGAAAGCCATATTAGAATTGTGTACCAACAAAACTATCTTTCAAGAATGGTGGTGAAGACATTTTCAGATAAAGAAAAAAGAGGGAGCATTTTCTACCTACAGAGCCTGAAATATTTAGTAAGTATTAAGGTAATTACTAAAATAATGTTTAAGTTATGCACTTTAAGAAGAACAAAATTATCCTGGAAAATGGGTCTAAGATACAAGAAGTATTAATGATGAAAAATGTAAACAAGCCATAATAAACACAATGAAATAAAAAAAAAGTACAGTTAATATAAACTAAAGAATACAGAGATGAAAAACTGTAACGCATAGCATGAGTCAGATGAGGGTGAGATAGGTTCAAATGTTCCCAAGTCCTCACAGTACTCTCTATGTAAAGTTATCAATTTAAGTATAATATATACAGTAAGATTTCAAGGAAAATTACTAAATAATTACACTACTAAAATAAGAGAAATAGGGAATAGAACTTCAAATCACTGGAGAAAAAAACGGAATGAGAATTATATGTAAAAAAAACAAGAAAACATGGGAAAAAAAGCATTAAAAAGACCAGATCTAATGCTTCATCCAAAGTCCAATCACATTGTGTGTTCTCCCCTCTCTCTAGGAGCTGAAGTCTGGCTTAGGTCCCAGAATGCTAGGTGAGAGCAGAAATGAAAATAGACATTGTTATGTTGACAGCTCCAGCCCTTTTTTTAATTTTGAGACAGGGTCTTGACAAGTGCCTAAGCTGTCCTGGCTGGGCTTGAACTTGCAGTCCTCAAGCTTCACCTTCCCAGACTTCCAGTAGCACAGGTGTGAGCCACCTGGCTAATAATGTCTTTGTTTATATGCCAGGTCTCCTTACCCCTTAGCCACCTCCTTGTCTGACTTTTTTTCCACTCCACGTCTAAATAGGGAAGTCGAGGCAGATCCTCGGTGATCAGGACGGACAGGTGGGACCAGACTTCCTTGCAGAAAGGTAGAGCCAAAGCAGCTCTCTGCCTGGGGCACTCATGACATTAAGGGCTGCTTGTCTGCTACTGATACATTCTACACTTTAAGTGTTATTATCTGTTAACATTTACAGAAGTCAAGGTGAAACGAAAGTCCTCATGAATCCAAAGTTCCTCTCTTTCTGTGGTGCTGAAAGGGAGAGGGGATGAACTGGCAACCACCTTTGCCTCCAGTTTGCTCCGGCACTTGCCAAGGACGGGTGCTGCTGTCTGCTGCTTCTCTCAGAGATGACTGATCACGCTCCTCCTCCTGTGTTACTCCAGGCCACAAACCTCTGCCATATGGCTGCACTCACAGACCTGTGTGTTGGTGACATGCCGGTTCAGGCCTAAGGTGGATTCATCATCCCCACTGGTTCAACTGGATTGGAACGGCATTGAACAGATACAGCCTGAATCAGAGTGAGCGTATCAACAGCGCACACCGAATTTCATCACTTGTCAACTCTGTCTCCTAAAGTCAGTGCTGGAGTGACGGGCCTGAGCAGAAAAGGGCCACAGGATGGACCTGTCTTTCCTGAACCACCAGATATTTATCATAAATTATATCATATTCAGTAAAACCTGATGGCTTTAAAGGGAGACAGCATCCTGTTAGAAACTCTGGCCTTGCCAAAGTGACTTCCCTGTATGAGCTTGAGTTTACTCATTTTAACATGGGAATTCCAAGTCAGTGCATATTTACAGGGCTTTAGTAAGCATTTGAATAATCTGAATGATATAGGGCAGTGGTGGCGAACTTATGGGATGTGTGTTATTGTTATTTTTCTTTTAAGACAAAAAATGTTAATGTATGAATTGATTTTTCTAAGCTAAAACTTCAGTATGCAGGTTTACTGCAGGCGGCACTTTGTGATAAGTAAGTGGGTTTGGGCTTGCAGTTTGGTACTTGGTCTCTAAAAGGTGTGCCCTCACTGATACAGGGCTAGGCAAAGTAAACGACATAAGTAGGTAAGTCATTCCTTACTGGGATATGTAGGTAGAAAAACAAAACGGACTTTTTTCTTCTTCTTTTTGGTATTGAGACTGAACTCAGAGTCTTCAAACTGAGCTACATTTCCCCTATTTTATTTTAAGACAAGTCTTGCTAATTTGCCCAAGCTAGGCTCAAACTTGTCATCCTCCTGCCTCAGCCTACTAGAGAGTAGCAGGGATTACAGGCATGTACCACTGTGCCCAGTTTGGTTCAATTTTTATAATAAAATTTTATAGTTTTCTTTTTTAGATTTTGCCGGTACATTTTAGATATACATACTGATCACATTCATCACAGAGTAATTTTATAATCTTTTACATACAGTTCTTGTACACATCCTGTTAAATCTGTGCCTAGATTGTCTATGGGTTTGTTTTCTATTTTAAGTGGTAGCTTTGTTCACTGTCATGTGTATATAACT